CCCCAGCACACCCAGCTTGGGGGCTGTGCTGTGGTGGAGGGCACCTGGTGACACCGTCCTTCGCATCTCGCAGACCCTCAAGGTCCCCCGGGTGCAGCCCCCACTGCCTGCCCTGTCCTACAGCCGCGCTCCTGGGGCTGATTTCACCATTGCAGGGGGCTTCAGTCACCCAGCGTGGGTTCGTGGGGAGCACGGTGTTGGCAGCGGTGTCCCCCTGCCTGGCATAGGGCAGGGGTGTTGTGGTGCTGAGCTTATGTTTTATGGAGGGTGTTTCTATGGTTTGGGACGGGTCTGAGCCAGGCAGGCTCAAACCCTTGCTCCGGAGCCAAGGCTGGTGGGTTTGTGCCTCTGTAGGGAGTTGGTAGGGATGACAGCGCGTCTGGTCCCTGCTTGGAGCAGAGTGAGGATGTGTGTAGGGCCAGGCCACCCCCACCTTTTCCTCTGCTCTCTGTCACACTGCCAGCGCGCAGGGACCCAGGAGCTTCCTCTTGTCCACTGCCTGCCACTGCACTGCCTGTCCTGAGGGACAGGGAAGAGCCCAAGAGCAGGGAGGGAGCGTGCATGCACTCCTGGGGAGCAGGGAGCAGAGATGCACTGTCATTGCCCACGGCAGGAGCCGCAAGGCTAGCAGGTCTCTGTGCATGGTACCAGCTGCTGTGCTGGCTCCTGTCACCAGGCCTGTCATAGCAGGTTGGGACAAGGGCACTGCAAACCCCAGCAAAGCAGCGTATCCCTATTACGGTCCCCTGTGTCTGCATCTGATGGCTGGCAGGACCCTCCTGCCCTCCCTCCCTGCCTTTAGCCCTTCTTGGGGTGATTTTGCAGCACTGCTTCTGACTGCAGAGAAGTCAGAGCAGGAGGAGCCCCCTTGCACCAGCAGCTCCATGACAGGACAGCTTTTGCAGCTCCTTTCTTGTGGTTGAGTCCAAAAACTGACTGCTCTTTCAGATTTGCAAGTCACCAGCTCCAGCATCCTTGTCTCCACATGTATTTGTGAGTGGAAAGTCCCCATCACATGGTGATGCCATCTGGTCACCTCCCAGCGTCAGAGTCTCTGCAGCAGGCAGGGAAACACCAGCAGAGGCTAAAGCAGCGAGGATGCTCACAGGCTGTAGCCAAGCACAGCAGGCTGACCCAGGCTTTACTGTGGCAGGGCTGCGAGCATCAGGCTTCACTGCAGAATGAGTACAGCTCTTTGATGTGAGTGGGCCTGTGCAGCACTTCCAGCCATGCTGGGCTTGTGGCCATTTCTTCCTGACACCTTCCATCCTGGGAAAGAGCCCTCAGGTGATGGAAGGGCTTCAGCGAGCCCTTCAGCACGGGTTGCAATGGGATGCCTGAAAATTCAAACCATTTTTCACAGCTAAGACACATCAGTAACCTGTGGAGAGGGACCATGCTTTGGCATTGGCTTCTTCAGCCCATCCTCTTACAGCAGTAGCTGGTTGCTAGAAATCAGTAGATTCAGAACAAAAATAATGTGGTTATTTTGATACATCTTCCAAAAAGCTGTATCTTCTCTGGTACCTCTCCCTAAAGCTGTCCTCCTGAGCAACTGTTGCATCAAAGCTAGCTTGGTTTGGTTTTTCTGAAGGCTCTGCTCAGTGGAAGCAGACATCATATTGGGGAACTGTAGGGATTTGTGTTAGTCAGGGGCTAAGCTAGATCATTTGGCATGTGAGAGGGGTAGAAAGGGGGACTCTCAGCACACACCACTGCTTCTGTCCAGCTACAGGGACTTCTATTGCTCTCACTGATACCCTAATTTTTGAGGGATCATGCCCTTAAGCTGTGAGTGTCTACATCTAAGTCTTAAAATGGAAAAGCAGTTTGTGCTAAGGAGAAGGGAAGGAGGAAGAGGCTACAGAGGCCTCACGGAGCAGAGGGTGCTGGACTGTGGCCTGCCAGCTGCAGGAGGATTGCTGGTTTGCTCAGTGCCTTGGCAACTTTTTAGGACTGTCAAATGCATGGTGCAGACCTCACATCATGCCCCAATGCCCATCCCACCTCGTGGTTTCTCTTTGCTGGCCATCAGACTCCACATTGCAGCTCATTGCTCCATGGAAATGCTCAGGAAAGCAAGGGGAATCAACCTTCCCGTGGGTCAGCGTTACCCGACAGCAGTGGTTTCCAAGCAGGTTTCAGCTGCTCCCGTCCTCCTCCTCTCACATCCCCGTTCCTCTTTCGCTGGTGACAGGGTGGACTAACCACTGTGGGACAGAGCCCACCCAGAGCGATGGGATCTCCTCCTGGACCTCAGTTCCTCCAGGAACCAAACAAAATTGATAAACGGGAGACAGAAGGAAATTTTATAGTTTTTACTAATTTTTTCCAGTAAATCAGTGCCTGGCAGTGCTGGTTACACATTGAAGCGCCTGAAGTTACAGATATGTTCTGGAAGATGTTTTTCAGCTATCTTGTAATTAAAGATTTGCAAATAAAATAGTGACCCAGGTCAGAGCCATGACTTCAGGGTTGAAAGAAATATTCATTCTCTGTGATTTCACAGCTGCCTGGTCTTTAAGGTAATGTTTGCTCCAGGCCTTGTTTCCCAGGCAAGCAGCAAGGAAGATAACTAAAATTCTGAATCCTTTTTCAGGGTCTGAATCACTCCCACGAGCATTTTAGTTTTTTTTTTTTTTTAAAGCGAAGATGAAGATGGAAGTAACTGTTGTGCTGGGGGGGAACTCCCTGATCCTGGGTTGTTTCAAACCAGAGCAGTTTTCCACCGTGTTTTCCATATCAATGCTCTTGTTGGTGGTTGTCACCGGTGACCCAGGTGTTGTCCCAGGCATCGCCCACCTCTTGCACATCTGTGTTCAGCTGCACTGGTGGTGTGGGAGAGGCTGCGTGGTGCTGCCCAGATCTGTGTTACCCTTTGGACAGCAGCTGCCTTCCTGGCTCCCCAGAGAGCTTCCAGCTGAGCCCAAGGGTTGCTGCAGTGCGAGAAGGTGAAGGCAGTCTGTGGTGTGGAGTCCAGGTATGGATAAGGAGGTACCCATCTGTTTGGCGCTTATGAGCCACAGCTGAATACTGGGACCAGTTTGGGACTTTCCAGTACAAGAATGGCATAAACACCCTGGAGTGACTCCAGCAGGGACAGGATAGTCCAGGGGACACAGGATAGCAGTCAAGCACAGGGATAAGGACCTGTAGAAGCAGTGGGATCTTCAGCCTTAGAGCTACTCAGACTTTGACCGAAGAAGAGGTTGGAGCAGAGACCTCTGGAGGTCCCTTCCCACCCCAGCTATCCAGGGCAGCTAGCTGCAGACTGCCAGTGGGAAGCAAGACTCCCAGTCTTTCAATATGTCCCAGCGTTTTGTGATAGGAGGCCCAGCAGGGAATCCTGCTGTACGCGACAAAGAAACAAAGTCCTTTCCTAAGCTATGATCTCTGTATCATTGTGTGCTTCCCTGCATCCTCCTGCTGCACTTAAGAGTAACTGAAATCTTGGCTTTTAAAAACTGCCACCAGCAAATGGAGAACATTTTTGGGTGGTGCTGCCAGTTCCCAATGTGAATTAGGAAATTATTTTTTCCCTTTGGTTTGTTAGATTCAAAACAGACTTGGGTAAACATGTGGTTTTTCAAAACTAAAAGAATGAAACCACGGGAGCCGGTGCCACCTTAGAGCCTGTTTCTGTGGTGCAGGGCAAGGAAACGGCCTCCTTTCTCTTCCCTGCTGCACAGGTCCTTTGCACCAAGCGGATGTTTATACTTCATTAATTGAGAAGTTTGCCTCACCTCTTTGTTTCCCCTTTTTAGGCCATGAACCTGGACTTATGCAGCTGGTGAATTACTACAGGGGAGCAGACAAGCTGTGCCGTAAAGCATCTCTGGTGAAGTAAGAAATTCACTGAAACGTTATGTGGGATTGGCAGCAATTTTGCCTCTAACTGTTGTTGAGTGTTGAACCTGTTTGGAAAGTGTTTCACTGAACAGCTGCCCTGGGAGTGTCCTGTCATGTGCTGTCTCCAGACTCCCATCCTGGTCTCTGGAGCTGTCTGTGTGAGCAAAGACCTCTTTGTAACTTCAGGGAAAATGCTCTTTCTACTGAATTACATCTGCTTGAAACCATGGAGTGTACTGAATCAGATTAGAGCTGAATCAAAAGAAAAAAAACAACCCCATCTTATCTGTTCTTTTTCCTTGCAGACATTTAATTAAAACCTACTGCTTTTATCCTCTGTTTCATACAGAGATGAGACACTAACATGTCTTTAGCTAATCAGATTTGTTGGTCAAACAAATGCCTGGAGACATCTCCAGGAAGAGCTCTGGGAGTTATTTCTGCGTGACCAGCCATGCCAGGGTCTCCTGGGGGAAACATGGATGAGCTTTCATTGTAGATAACCCTCATCCCTGTGCAAACTCTGTGGCTGTTAGGGCATCTTCGTGTGGGAGCTCTTGGATTTCTCTGTGACCTGTGGTCTGAAGCAGTGCTGAGGGTGCTTGCACACCTGTTTTTCTCTGCTGCAGCTTGGCTGACCTTTCCAGCTGTGGGGTCAACCATACATCAAGCTACTCATGGACCCAGGGGACCACCAGTGACATTCCTCAGGGCTCCCAGGGCATCACTCACTGACTGCCATTTCAGCAGAGAGGCACAAACGCAGAGAGAGAGTCAGCAAGTCATGAGCTCTGCTCTTGGCCTTAAGCAAAGCACAGCGTGAGCGCTCAGAGAGGCACGCAGCTCCCTTGACTCAGAGAAAAGGGGCTTGGGCTCTGCTAGCATCTCCTGACATTACTGGAAAGAGAAGTGTGCCAGAGAGATTGGAGACTGCACGATGCAAGGGGGATTGCAGATGCCTTGAGACATGAAACGTGTAGCTGTGTCCTTGCTTTCAGTGGGTTCCCAGTGGTCTTCATCCACAAGTGGGATACCCGATCAGATCTCAGCAGGGATGGGATCAAGAGCTGGGCACCAGCACAGAGAGCGTTACTGCTCAGGGTTCTCACAGCATCCTTCCTGCCCCGTTCCGTGTTAGCAAACACACCTCCTTAGTTCCCTTGGGCAGAGGTGCTGTAGGGAATGCATCACAAGCTCTATTTATGTGGAAACTTCTCAGCTGATTGTTTCACAGTATCCGTAGTATCTACAAAATGTTTAATGAGAGCTTGCCGGTCTGGTTCAAAAAGCAGTGATTGGCTGCAGGTTGGGGTTGCCATGATATCTTTAGGAAAGCCCTAATTTCAAGGGTCTAAGGAAACTGTAATAATTTAGCACAGGCTATCTTAAAGCTGCTATTCATCACTAAGTGAAAGAACCCAGTTAATGATGATTTTTCTTATTAAATTATTTCCATGCGGGTGGCGGCACTCTGGAGATCAACAACCTGTCTCTTTTCACCCAGGCTAATCAAGACAAGCCCTGAACTATCGGAGTCCTGCGCTTGGTTCCCCGAGTCGTATGTGATTTATCCAACTAACTTGAAGACCCCTGTGGCTCCAGCACAGAATGGAATTCACCATCTCATACAGAACACGAGGACAGATGAGCGGGAAGTCTTCTTGGCAGCTTACAACAGGCGGCGGGAAGGGAAAGAAGGCAACGTGTGGATCGCCAAGTCCTCAGCTGGTGCCAAAGGTTCATTTTCCAGCAAAACAAATCGCCTTCTTTTTATTCCTTACTCTTTACTTGATCAGTGGAGTCCCAGGATTTGGCTGAGCCCAGCTGATATCTGGCCTGTCTATGAAAGGCTTTACCTACCAACTCTGTGCCAGTCAAGCCAGCATAGGGCTCTCCTTTGCTTGGTGGCATGGGGCTCCTGACAAATGCACATGCTTCCTAGGACATGGATGGCAGTGAAAGGACCTCCTCTTTTCTATGCATATGCCTCAAAATACAGTGCAGTTTGCTGCAGGGAGAGGGCAGCAGGGACAAGTAGGCGAAGGGAATGTGGAGAGCAGGAGATAACAGGGAGCAGAACAGGATATGGGGAGGTCACACTGAGAGACTGACTGAGCAACTGCGAGCTCAGCACATTGAAATTACACCCAAGCCACAGGGGAAGGTACCAGAGCAAAGACAAGCAATGCTGTGTCTGTATGTCCCCTTAATTTAAATAAGGCAATGGATACCTAAGTAATAATATGTCCTTTCTGGGTCATTGCATCACTCCCTCTGCAGCAAGGAGCTGTTAGGCGAGACAGCTGGACACAGCTACGGATGTTGGGCTTTGGTAACTCTGTGCTGTCTGTCAGGTAGGGCAGCATCACGGGCACATTATCGGAATGGCTTTATGAAAACTTGCCTTGCTGTGTGTGCAGACCCCAGGCTGCAGAGCCCAGCCTGAGAAAGGACCTGGCCTTCTCAAAGGGAACCAGCCCATGTGTGTTATTCATATTTACAGAGTCACTTTGGTGCAGTCTTAGAAAAATCACCAGAGAATGTGAAAGTCAGAGGTGGCTGCAGGGGGGCTGCCATTAGGGATTGTCATGGTTTAACCTGGCAAGCAGCTAAACACCATGAAGCCGCTCTCTCAGCTCCCCCTGCTCCCTGGTGGGATGGGGAAGAGAATCAGGAAAGTGAAAGTAAAGAACTCATCAGTTGACGTAAAGACTATTTAATAATTAAAATAAACCAAATTGAAATAATAATACCACCAATGAACTGCAACAAGAATAGAAACAGCGATAATAAAGCAATTGAAGTTATACTCGGCTCACAAGCAGCGCTCACTGGCTGTATGTCTATGAAGATGCGATAAGGGAGGGTTAGGCCTCAGGAACTGTGGTGGGTTGCCATCACGGAGTAGAAAAAAAAAGAAAGAGGAGATCGAAAGGAAGGGATTGAAGAAAGGAAGGGCAAAAAGGGTCTTCCCTAGCAAACTCCCCAATTCATAATCAGTGTGACATTTATGGGATAGAATACATTTTTATTGGTCAGCTTGGATCATACCTGTATCATCTGTCCTGGGGCACCTGTCCCGGGGGCGGGGGGGAAGGAAGGAAAAAGAAAAAAAGAAACTATGAATATGAACACATGTTCAAACAAACCTTGAGAAAATGTAAACGTTGGCGTGTTATCATATCAGTCCCAGCACAAACCCAAAATAAAGCTCTCACTAGCCTCCCATGAGGGAAAGAAAAAAAACCCTCTGTCTTAGCAATACCAGGATAAAGATAAAACTGTCCTTCATGCTGGCTTCCTTCACTGCTCCTCTCTCTTGGCAGTGTTACCAAGAAGCATCAGAAGAGTATGCTTATTTTCATCAGGGAAGGGGAGATGAGTCTTTCCATTGTGTCAGTGAAGGAATGTGTTTCTGCAGAGTGTAACTATCCGGCAAAGAGTCAGTCTGGGCAATTGAAAAGCCCATCACTATGGTTTGCTGCAGGGTGGAGGGTTTGAACTCTCCACATAGTTTATTTGAGTGTCATCCTGTCTTTTCTACATCAAAGCAGAGTAACCTTTCATATTCTTCAGTGTGCTGCAGAACTCAAGCTGAGAGTTAACGTGGAAAGCAGAGCTTCATGTTAATCTTCTAGAGGGAAGTTTTAAATGTCTGGGGATTACTTTTGAGGAAGAAGAAAGCTTGTCAACATTAATTGCCAAGGCAGATTTAGCTGAGACACAGCCCCTGACTCAGGACAAGTCTAGTGGGAGCTTGGCTGTCCATCAGTGAAAGGAAAATTAAAGTTTTAGGATGTCCTGACTTAAAAGTTGAGAGATTTTTTTTCAACTGTGGCTAGAGGTTTTCATATTTTCTTTGAGAAACAGCTGCCCCACATAAGCTGCTTTGCTGCTTCACTGGGTTGCTGACTGGCTGCAGAGTTAAGCTAACCTCCCCCTCAATCTACCATCTGTCCAGTGCAGAACGAGTGCCTGTGATCTTCCCACTGTGGGGACTTTACTGGCATACAGAGGGTGTTTCCCTCCTTCCCCCAGATCACAGCCCATGGTTGTACTGACACAAGTTTCTGCCTGGCTCTGCTGTGGTCAGGGGACTAAAAATCTTGCCCTCCCGCATAAAACATGGGTGAGAAAGCTGCTTTGATGAAAGGAGTTCCTTTCAGTGGAGGATGCTAGGATGGATAGGGGTTATTAGGACTGGGGAGTTGTGATCCTGTCAAACCGTGCCCTTGCTCCAAACCTGTGTTCTCTCTGCAATGTCCCCTTGAAGAGCATTTGTTTCTTTTCACTCAGTATTTCCTCCAAAACAGCACAAAATTAAGTCGTAAGCTTTAGTCCTAAAAGTTAACTAAATGCCTGAAGACTTGATGTGGTGGCAGAGAAGTGTTAGGTAGTTTTACCTGATCTGGTTTATCCCTCATGTGGCAGTGTTCCATCCCTTCATCGAATCCCAGAAGGGATATGTTCTCTCTTCATTGCTCTGCAACAGTGGTTTCAGATCTAGACTCTTGCAAGAAATGAGCAGTGACAACTTCAGCCAAAATGTGGCAGTGTTTTAACGGCACATCTAACTTCAGTAATGAAGAGCTTCCACAGCAGGGGAAAGCACTTCAAGGATTAACATCTTGAAATAGGTCTTTTCCTAATTTTGCAGTGATTTTAATAGCAACTTAAATGAACTTGGTGAGCAGGGCAGCACTGTACAAGTGTGCATGTGTGACTGCCCTGGGCACACAGGCTGGGGGAGAAAGTCTGAGGCTAGGATAAAATACCACAATTTTTTTTAAAAAAGCCAAAATCCCTGTTCTCCAAACTGCTGAAAAACAAGGAAAAAAAAAAATCAGCGAGTGCTGAACATGTGTGCCACCCCTCCACTAAGCCTAGCTGGGAAAAAAACACCAGAAAACAAAATCCCCCAAACCAAGCAGCTGCCTCACTGCTTGCCAAGGTCCCTCTGCATCATCCCCTTGCACCTGAAGAGCCACTCCCTGCAGATGAGACTCAGGCAGGCTATGCCATTTCAGATGCCCTTGGTCCTCACTTGTGTGAGCTCCCATTACCAGGGAGTGAGGCGCCCTGTGGTGTGGTAACAGGGAGATCCCTCTGCAGATTCACTGCCTGACACTGAGCAAATGCGACGTTGCTTAGGCACCAGCCAGCCCTGGGGCCGTGGGTCCTTGCATGTCATGTGGATCCTCTGCCTAATTTTGTCTTTGTCTTTCTGTGCCAGGGGAGGGGATCCTGATTTCTTCAGAGGCTGCAGAGCTCCTGGACTTCATCGATGAGCAGGGACAAGTGCACGTGATTCAGAAATACCTGGAGAAGCCTCTGCTTTTAGAGCCAGGGCATCGCAAGTTCGACATCAGGTAACCTTTTCTGCTTTTGTAATAATACCAGGTTTTATTTTTGCGCTGTTTCTTTTTAAGCCTCTGAGGCTAGGGTCTGATCTCTCGCCCCCTAGGAGCTGGGTTCTCGTGGATCATCAATATAATATCTACCTCTACAGAGAGGGTGTCCTGCGGACCTCTTCCGAACCATATAACAGTGCTAATTTCCAGGACAAAACCTGCCACTTGACCAATCACTGCATTCAGAAGGAATATTCCAAAAACTACGGGCGGTATGAGGAAGGGAATGAAATGTTCTTCGCGGAGTTCAACCAGTATCTGATGGATGCCCTGAACACAACGCTTGAGAATAGCATCTTACTGCAAATCAAACACATAATAAGGTACCCAGCTGCCTGTTGTGTAGGGGAGTGTAACACTTCAGTGGAAAGTGGATGGACAGCTGGGGAAGCAGACCGACTGAAACATGGAATGGTTTCAATTGCATAAATCTAAGATAATGCCATAAACACCCCAATGTCATTGCTCGGTGCAAAGGGACCTTCATAGGTGCTGTTCCCTCAATGTGCCAGTGTGTCTGCATTTGCCAGCTGGAGGATGGAGTGAGATCACTTGGTAAGGGAAGAAGGTAGGGATCCTTCATGGTGGAATTTACTTTGGCTGTTACACCGTAAAGGCACGATATGATCTTTGAGGGTCAGTTCCTTGGGGACCTGGTGCAGCTCTTTCTGGCTCTGCCTTGTGCTCCAGGCTCTCATTGCACATCATGCTTTTCAATTTGCCTAATCCAATAGAGAGGGTGAATGCTGCTCTCTAGTTCTTTGGGAGTTGACAGTGTCCTCACATGTGTTCTGATGGCTCCCGCGATCTCAAGTCCCTGCAAGACTTGGTTACCATGACGTGTGTTGGATATAGCTTGTAATTTGGGGCAATCCCAGGCCACAGGAAACCCTTCCACTTAGCTGTCCTCTGCACATGCCTTCAGAAGTTGCAGTGTGACATGTGTGTCCACAGGGCTTTTAAGCTTGGGTTTCTATTTTTCCCTTCACAGAAGCTGCCTTATGTGTATAGAGCCTGCAATCAGCACGAAGCATCTTCATTACCAGAGCTTCCAGCTCTTTGGCTTTGACTTCATGGTGGATGAGGAGCTGAAGGTCTGGCTGATAGAAGTCAACGGGGCCCCAGCGTGTGCCCAGTGAGTAACCAGTTTCTGCAATACCCTTGTGATGCCACCATTCATATGCCTCGCCCAAAACATGGCTGTGTCCCAGCTCCAAGTGAAAAAGGTGGAAGGGAATGTTTTCCAGACTAACGCATACTGGGCACTGCTCTAAGTGGCAGCTGATATAAGCTCATGGCTCCTGTCTCTGTGTTTGGTATCCCCCATCTTCTTTCTCCACATGAGATGGGGCACTAACCTCAGCTTTTAGACAAATGGGTTTGAATATAACTCGAGTAATTTTTATTGACACTTGGGTTGAAGTTATGTTGCAGAATTAATTGTATTGCTTTGGGGGTCAGGTGGTTTCTCAGTTTCTCCTGTGGTGCCACTGGTGGCTGGTCCTTACTTGAACACATGATAGATGAGAAGCATTAAGGGCAGCAGCTGGAAGTGAGTGACTGAATTTGCAGACAGCAGGACCCCAGAGCACTCTGCTGCAGACATTGGCTCAAAGCCTCCACCAGCTGCAGAGAGGCTGGGGCAGCCAAGCAGCCGTGGCCTTGAATATCTCTGTGTAGGTACAGCGGGAGCTGCTGCATTACGTGATTGAGACAACTGCGGGAGACTGGAAATCTCTGCTAAGTGGGCATCTGTATTGTGTAAGAGCCCAGCAAAGCAGAACAGGCTGTACATTAGAACTAGATTAGATTAGATTTAGATTAAATTATATTAGATCATCACTAACAGTAGGCAAAAAATACAGGTCAGACCTACCAGACAGCCTGTTTACTAGCGATTTCAGGGTTAGGCTTGGTGAGCTCTCCATGTGCAGGATGCCCTGCTCACCATGTGCGCTGTGGTGCAGTACTGCCTTGCACATCCTAGACTAGATATTGGGAAGGAATTCTTTACTGTGAGGGTGGTGAGACACTGGCACAGGTTGCCCAGGGAAGCTGTGGATGCCCCATCCCTGGAAGTGTTCAAGGCCAGGTTGGACAGGGCTTTGGGCAACCTGGTCTGGTGGGAGGTTGGACTGGATGATCTTTAAGGTCCCTTCCAACCCAGACCATTCTATGATTCTCTGAGTTGCTGTGTTGGTGGAATTTGGCTGTTGCTGGGTGGATTTGGGGTGCAGCAATGCCCTGTTTGCTTTATGCCTCTATGGGCACTTGGAAGCTATTGAAAGCAGCTGAGGTGGGCTTTGACTATTTGTGGCTTCTCCTCTTCAGGGTTCTTCCAAGGTATAGCACCCATATCACAGAGTTTAAGAGACAAAAAATTGGCTGCTGAAAGCGATAACATTCCCAGGAGCTGAAAAAGTGTGTTACTGTCATGTAGCCCCAACTGTACAGGATGAAAGACATTGTTAATCCTAGCAAAGACAGCTTTGGTACTAATGATGTCCCAGGTGCCAGTGTGTTCAAGGAGGTTACACGTGTATTTCTTTCAGCAGAAAGTGAAGCTACTGTTGAGTCATTCTTCAAACACCTTGTCTCTCTTCTCCCTAATCCTGCTCTGCGTGAGCTGTGCCACAGTGAAACACATCCTGCGCTCCTGGAGGGTCCTGTGAAGCCTCTGTGCCTGGTCACAAGCCAATGTGCACAGCTGCACCCCAGTGCAGGGTTTCATCAAACTGTGAATGCCCACAGGTTTGTCCTGCCTGGGCATCTGATTCTCTCCCTCCCTCTCGTCTCTTAGGAAGCTGTATGCAGAGCTCTGCCAAGGAATTGTGGACGTAGCCATCTCTAGCGTTTTCCCCCTCAGCGACACCGGGCAGAAGATGAGCCAGCCATCACAGATCTTTATCAAGCTGTGATGACGACTGAAATGCCTCTGCTGTGCACAGGGAGAGACTGCACCCATCAGGCCAGCACAGTGCGGTGACTTATCTCCGTATCATGCTAAAAAGTGATAGAGACAGGCTTCGTCTTTGCTGGAAAATCATGGGGAAAAACAGCAAAAGAGGCATCCACACAGAGCTGTTCAGAGAACTCTGCCTGCATTCATCAAAATCCACTTTAAAAACAGCTCGGGTGACTTTGATATCTGAAACAAATCTCTCTGGGAGAACAACAAAATAACCTTAAAATGAAACCCCAACAGGGATACTCTGATACTGTATTAGCTCCGCCTTTTCTATAGAGATAACATTGGGTTTTTTAAGGGAATTGAGCAAAGAGTACGATGATCTTCCAGGACATCGTGGCTGGGAAGTTGTCCTTCTCCTGCTGTGTTTCCTCTTTCCTCACCTACTGCATCATTAGTGCCTTAGCTCAGCTCCAAATAGGTGACTCCTTTCCTTTGTTCCTGCTCTGTGACATAGAAAGGAGCAAGCTCTCTTGCATCGCAGGATGCCTAAAACCAGGAACACCGAGAATTCAGTGTCCTTCAGTCATTTTCCAAGCTGCTTGGCTGAACACTCAGGCAGCGGCTGGCAAAAGGGTGCTGAACTGCAGCTGGTGAATTAACCCAAGCAAAGAAGGCAGTTTTATTTACTTACAGCTATCCCTTTTCCTAATGAGATTTGAATCAGTGTCCACCTCAGTCTGATTTTAAACAGAATTCAGAAGAGGTAGGGAGACCCCCTGGGGGCTCACCGGCTGGCTATAGCATTTCATTTTTGTGCTAAGAGCATTTTAAATCGCAGAAACCCAATGCCCTCAGTTTCTTCTGGACAGTACAGTCAATTTAGGCTATTCTCTCAGCTTTCACCTCTGTGCATTTGAGGCTTGAATCTGAAACCTTTCAATCCAGATGATTTTTACCCTGTTTGATCCAGGCAGTTTTATTCTCCTCAGTTTGACAAATACTGCAGTTTTCTGCCCTGAACACAGTCCACAGCTTTGTTCCAGCTAGGGGGAAGGTGGGTGAGGTTTTGTAGACCAGAAGAGAGATTCCTCACATATAGGTTTGGCCCACAGCTGGGAAGGCAGCTGGTTTTTGGAGGAAGGGAGGTTAAATTCCTTGAGGTCCCTGAATTTCAGAGCTAACATCTCCTTTGAGCATAACCTAAATCTCTAGCACGTGCCCACCCTGTGAAGTGTATCTGAATTTTCAGCGTGAGCCCAGCACACCACTCCTAAGCTGGAGCTCTTTGCACAGTGACACTTGTAACTGCAGGAGGCTTTGTGGGGGTGTTCCGGGCTGGCACCAAAATAACCTGTTACCCAAGACAAACCAACAAGATGAAATTGTGGAAGCTATGAGCTTCTGGCTGCCTGTGGGAAATGGACAGTGAATGAAGCAGTGGGATTTCTGCCTCCTCGTGCTTTGACCTGCTCATCTCTGCTGGAGGCTCCAGAGGTCTTCGTGCTGGCAAATGATCCTGGCACCACTCTGTAGGCAGGACTGAAGTGCCCAGGTCTCCTCGGAGTGACGCTGTCATGGGTTGGATATTCGCTGCAACGTGCTGTGAATCCACAAGCAGCACCGTTCCACACAGGGGCACTCACATCCAGGAGGGAATGGAGCGGTCGGCAAAACCCTGCAGCAGCATCACAGAGAGGGCACAGCCCAAAGAGTGGCACAAGCACCTCTGGAGCTGCTGGCAGCCTAAAGCGTGGTGTGGATCTGCATCAGCAGGGGGCACTGGTGCGTGGTGGGGAGCGGCAGGGAGCAGGAGCTGTGTGACAACGGGGCTGCAGCTTTGTTCCCCTGCACTGCAATGCTGGTGGGGGGCTTCACTGCCAGCGAGACCTTGGGTGCCAGGGCTGGATCAGGGCCTTGTGGTTGCTCAGAAGAAGGGACGGTGAATGCGTTGGTTTGTGAGTTGGGAAGCGCTGGGTGAGGGGTGTGGGAGAAGGACTGGTTGGGTTTTTAACCTTATGACAGCACATAGGTGTCAGAATTTCACTGCAGGCCAGGTGAAGCGTAGTGGTAACGCTTCAAGGTCAAATGTAGGCTGTAATGGTTGTTGCTTAACTTGCAGAGATCACCACGTCTCCATGGGCATTTTCACATCTAAACTCATGTAAGCTTAAAATTTATACTTTTTTCCCCAGCAAAGGGAAGCTCTAAGAGCAACTGCTTTGGTCTAAGATGTCCCCGAGAAGACAGAAGAGACACTGGGCTCTCGAAAGCTCTGGGCAGATGAGTGCAAAGCACGTAGCGAGGATAGAAAATTTTCCCTATCATTATGAAATGAGAAATGTTCATTTTCTGGGGTGCTAGACCCCTCAAAAGGGAAATGAAAAAACAGAATCACTCCTTTACTGCACAGTAACATGAGATT